TCGCGCCCAGGGGCACGACCGCGCACCAGAAGTGCACCTCCGGCCGACCGCCGTGCAGCAGTGGATGATCCAGAATGTCGCCCGGCGTGTACTGGCGTATGGGGATTGCCCCACTGACCTCACAGAGGAGTCATCGTTGCACGAGATCCTCGACTCGAGAGACCACTACGGGATGGAGCCCAAGAACTTGGCCAGCTTCGACTTCGACAAGGTCAAGATCCTGCACAGGAAGGTCCACGTTCGGCCGATGCGCCGGGAGTTGCCCGCGTCGGCCGCTGGCTACCTTCGGCATGCTTCCGACTTGATCGAGATGGACGAAGCGGAGCTTGAGAGAGATCGTGCCGAGGGAGTGGGTGTCACGCCATACTGGGACCCCCTCCTCCGGCGCTCGCGAGACCTTCGGAAGCGACTGTACCAGCGCCTGGACCAGCAGGGCCTGCTGACTTGGCGTCGGCGGCTGAAGGGGCATGCGGGCATCTTCGTGGTCAAGAAAAAGGATGGGCTCCAGAGGTTGATCATCGACGCCCGAGCGGCCAATCGGGCGCATCGGCCACCTCCCACTACTCGGCTAGGCTCCTCGCGATGCATGGCCGACCTCGACCTCTCCGACCCCCGCCTGAAGGCATCGGGCTTCGGGGGCCTCGGCTCCGGGGCCTTCAGCCCAGCTGGTCGCGAGGGAGACGTCGGGGACTGTTTCTACAACTTCACCATCCCCGAGCTGGCGAGCTGGTTCGGCTTCGCAGACCAGTTCGGCACCCACGAGCTGACGGAGATGGGCTGCCTGCCGGACTCGATCTGGGACGACGCCGAGGGGGCCGAGACCAAGGTCGTGGACGGCGAGCAGCTCTACCCCTGCATGCGCGCGGTGTGCATGGGCTGGTCCTGGGCGCTCTACTTCGCCAACGAGGCCGTGACCTACCGCGTCCAGCGGGCGCTGCCCGACGGGGCCGAGAAGGTGATGAGGGAGATGCAGCCTGCCCCGACCATCGAGCCCGGCAAGTGCGTTGCCGGAGTGTACGTGGACAACGTGCAGGTGATCGGAGGCTGCGAGGCTGACGCCAACACTCAGATGCATGAAATCGAGAATCTTTTTCGAGAGGACCGTATACCTTTCGACGTGGAGCCGGGGGACAGTTTGGAGATGCAGTCCCTCGGCCTGGTGTACCACTGGCAGGAGCGTCGCCTGAGGCATGTGGCTCGGCGCGCCTGGCGGACCTACATGGCCGGACACGCCCTTTTGAGACGCCGCAAGCTCCACGGGCACGCGCTCCAGTGCTGGCTGGGGCACGTCGTGAACCTGAACCAGCTCTGCCCCGAGGCGATGTCCGCGCTGAACGCCTGCTACCGCTTCATCGAGGAGTCGCTGGAGTCGCCCAAGCGGGTCTGGCCCTCCGTGAAGTCCGAGATCCGCTGCTCGATGAACTTGCTCTTCCTGATGGAGGCGGACTTGGGCGCGACCTACTCGGACCAGGTGTACTGCGGGGACTCGTCCGGCCGCGGCCACGCACTCCACGTGACGACCGCCGAGCCGACCGAGCTCCGAGAAGCCTGGAGGTGGAGAGAACGCTGGCGGTACCGCGACGTCCCGACGGTGACGGGCCACGTCAGCAGCGGGCTCGACTACGTGCGCGGCGGCACGCCCGGCACCGCCACTGGCCCGAGGACCGCCTTCGGCCAGTCCCTGCTGAGTCAGGCGGAGGCGCCGGAGGATGCGAGCGGCCTGGCTCCCTCTCCGGCCCGAAGCCGCGCTGCGAAGCCGGCTCGAGGCCGCACCCAGCTGCATCTTGACTCGGGCATCCCCGCCTTGGAGGACAGCTGGGTGGCCAGGCGCCGCTACAAGCTGGTCGCCGCGGACCGCTGGCGCTGGCAGGACGAGCACATCAACCTCAAGGAGGCGAGGGTCGCCTTGATGGGGCTCCGACGGCACTGCCGATCGGTGAAGTTCATGGGCACGAAGCTGCTCTCGATCAGCGACAGCCAGGTCACCGTCGGGGCCTTCGAGAAGGGCCGCTCCAGCGCGGGCCTGCAGGCCCTCTGCAGGCGCGCAGCCGCCTACCGCCTGGGGGGGCAGATCTCCTGGCGGCTCAGGTACATCGAGACTGACCGTAACCCGAGCGACGAGGACTCCCGGCGCTGGGACCTGAAGAAGCCGGCTGGGCTGAACCGGGGGCCCGAGCGTCGTGACGCCGCCCCGAGCCTGTCCGCTCCAGCTGCGAGTTACACGACCTCCTCCTCTTCTCGGTCACCTCCGTCGGCACCCTCAGCATCTGTTGTACGCCCGTCAATTCAGAGCGAGCCTGGTAAATCAGTTTTTTGTATGGAGCTCTTCGGTGGAAAGGGGGAGCTGACTCGAGCCTGCCTGGCGGAGGGGCTTCCCTTCGCGGATTCAGTTGATATCAGAGACGGCTGGGAATTTGATCTTTCTCGTCGCAGTACACAAGAGTATATCCTGAGGCTGGCCCGAGAAGGGCGTTTGATATATGTGCACCTGGGAACGCCTTGTCAGGTTTGGAGTATCGCTCGGAGGGGGATCCGAAACCATGTTCGAGCCAGGGCCCGGGAACGTCTGGGCATCGAGTTCGCACTGTTTACGGCTACGTTGTGTCATATCCTATCACGTCGTGGGTGTTATTGGAGTGTGGAAAACCCCCGGACTTCGAGACTCTGGAACTTCGACCCGATCGCTCGCCTTCATGGACTCGCGGACGTCGTCGAGGTAAACTTCGATATGAGCATGTATGGCACGGCCTATCGGAAACCTACTCGAATCCTGACAAACCTGAGAGCGTTACAGTCCCTGGGAGATCGGCCTCGCATTCGACATAAACACTCGGTCTTGCTACACGGTCATCTCACACCACTTGCCGCCGCCTACCCGCCAGCATTGGGCTCGTGTTGGGCCAGGCTCCTTTCTTCGGCCTTGCCGGGCGACATACGCCCGGGCCAGCGAGCCTTCGACCCCAGCGAGGTCCGCCATGGCCTCCAGCGGGCCGCGGGCCGTCGCCCGGCGGCTCGAGGAGCAGCGGTTCACGGTGAGGTCGATGAACCCCGTGAGCCAGCCTGCCAGGCCGCCGACTCGTTCCTCGAGCACGACCCGATCATCCAGTTCGGCCAGGACGAGCGGCCCCGGCGCTGGAGGGCCCACCCGGACTGGGCGGCAGCCGCCACCGGGGAAGGGCCGACCGCGGCAGCCTACAGGCCCCCGGCGGGCAGGCCCCATCACCGTCCCGCGGAAGGACTCGCTGATCATGGCGACGGTGACCGGAGGCACGCTGGAGAGGTACGCGACGGCGGTCCACGAGTTCGAGACCTACGCGAAGGAGAGGCGCCTGCCGCTGCAGCCGCTAGCACGCCTGGACGACAGCCTCTCCCTCTACTTCGTGGACCTGTTCGACGACGGCTTCGGGGTCTGGGAGGGGCGCAACGCCTTCTACGGGTGCAAGCTGCTGAAGCTCAGGACGACGGGCAAGGTCGACCTCCCAAAGGCGCTGGCCTCCCTGAAGGGTTGGACGAAGCGGGCGCCCGGGAGGATGCGTCTGCCGCTGCCCGACATCATCGTGGACGACATCGCGCTGGACCTGGTGGAGCACGGGAACCCCCTGATGGGGGCCGCGGTGGTGATCCAGACAGACACCTACACGCGGCCCTCCGAGGTGGTGGGGCTGAGGCAGGGCCAGATCTTGCCGCCGGCGCCGGTCGCGAAGCTCGGCGCGCACTATGGCATCGTCATCGCGCCCTCGGAGTGGCACGAGACCACGAAGACGGGCGGCCAGGACGACAGCCTGCTCGTGGGCGACGTGGCGAGGCCCTGGCTCACGAGCGTGCTGCGGCTGCTCCACAAGCCCAACGTGTCGGACAAGAAGAAGATCTTCGACTTCACCCTCGGCGACTACGAGCGCGAGGTGAAGAAGTCGGCCTGCCGCCTGGGCTACACCTCCCTGGGCGTGTGCCCGCACGTCTTCCGGCACTCGGGCGCCAGCAACGACAAGGCGCACTCCCGGAGGACGTTGGAAGAGGTTCAGAAGCGCGGACGATGGGCATCGTCCGCGTCGGTGGCTCGCTACGAGAAGGGGGCCCTGATCTTGCAGCAGTTGCGCAAGGTTCCCTTGGCCAAGCAGAGGAAGGCGGCGGAGCGCAGCAAGCGCCTGCCGCAGGTCCTCCTTCAAAAGATTCGTGAAATGTAGCGGCCACCAGTTCATGATATGGGTATGGGCGAAAGAGGGGCCGTCCAAGATGACAGCCCGACGATGTTCGACAAATTATCTCGTCTCAGGCCTGAGCTTCGATTGGATTACCTTGTCAGAGAGTGCGTGTGAAAGGTGATCCAAACTATATCGCACAGCTTCGCTGGATATGCATGTCTGGGCGAGGTTTTTAGGCCATCTAGGGGTGTGTATAGTCGTAGACGTGAATGCCCCAACAGGCCCCTCCTCGCCCGTGCTTGTAAATGCTGACCCCCCGCAACTGCGGTGGCTCAAAGTCTGCCCACCCTCAGCCACCCTCGAGCTCAGCATGCCTCGCTCGTAATTCAATGCTTTTTCCGCTGGGCGAAAGAGGGGCCGTCCAAGATGACAGCCTGACGATGTTCGACAAATTATCTCGTCTCAGGCCTGAGCTTCGATTGGATTACCTTGTCAGAGAGTGCGTGTGAAAGGTGATCCAAACTATATCGCACAGCTTCGCTGGATATGCATGTCTGGGCGAGGTTTTTAGGCCATCTAGGGGTGTCTATATATATATGTATATACATCCCTCTTTGTGTTGTTTGTTCTCTCTATCTCTCCCTATACTCCTATATGTATGTACCTCTCTCTCTCACTCTCGCTCTCTCTCTCTCTCTGTCTCTCTCTCTCTCTCTCACTCTCTCTCTCTCTCTCGCTTTCTCGCTCGTTCTCTCTTTCGTTCTCTCTCTCTCTCTCTCTCTCTCTTTCTTTCTCTGTTGTCTCTCTCTCTCTCTCTCCCTCTTTCTATCTCCTCCTTCTTCTCCCCCGCGCCTCAAGGCCTCCACTTGTGACGAACGCCACGACCTCACGCACATCGCGCAGGCCGGCGATGTCAGCAAGTGCCTGGCGGAGTGCTGCCAGCTATCCCTCAATTCGATCCCGGAGGCCACCGCTGCAGCCCCCCCGCCCCCTTCTGTTGGTCATTGCCTAGCCGTTGATGCCGTGCTCCTGCTCCCGTCTATCCGCTCTCCTGCCTCCTCCTCGCCCTCCTCCTCCTCCTCGCCCTCGTTCTCCTTCCCTTTCCCTTATGGATAATTCCATGCTGCTGTCCAGACGGAAAGCGCAGACTCATTTTCTTGTCTTGGCTTTCGCCTAAGACCTCCTCAGGTGATTTCTGTCGGTGTGCCGAGGCATTGAACACAGGAAAACATTTGCACGGATGGAGGGCGTTGCTTTACAGCGGGGCTCTCGCTTGACAGTTCCTCTCGTTTCGTGACATTTCTTCGTCGCCGTACTTCTGGTACAGCTGGGAGCATAGGTGGCAGCTCCCTTTCAAAGCTGGGCTTCCGCCCGAACTGCAGGACAGAAGGGGGGCGTTCGTCTGTCAAGCGGGCGCGTCCCGCGGCGAAGCAGGACTTTGGCGGGGCCCTGCGAGGAGCCGACTTGAGGCGGGGGTGGGCGTGTTGAAGCATCGCTGGTGCATCGTGTGCTTACTCTGGTCTTCCTCCTGCGCCTTCTCCTTCTCCTCCACCTCCTCATCATGATCATCAGCATCGTCCTCACCATCATCATCATCATCATCATCATCATCATCATCATCATCATCATCATCATCATCATCATCATCATCATCATCATCATCATCATCGTTATCATCATCATCCGCACCATCAGCATCATCATCGTCACCATCGCCATCACCAACACCATCACCATCATTATCAAAGTCATCAACAGCATCATCACCAGCAGTAGCAATAGCAACAGCATCATGAGCAGCAGCATCATCATCAGCATCAACATCAACATCAACGGCAACATTCACATTAACGTCAACGCCAACGCCAACAGCATCGTCATCACCAGCATCATTCTCGTCATCATCATAATCATCATCATCATCATCATCAGCAGCAGCATCATCATCATCAGTATCATTATCATCTCCAGCATCATCGTCGCCATCGTCAGCGCCGTCGCCATCGCCATCGCCATCGCCATCTTCATCCTTCTCCCCTTTCCCCTCGTCCTCCTCCTCCTCCTCCTCCTCCTCCTCCTCCTCCTCCTCCTCCTCCTCCTCCTCCTCCCGTCCTCCTCCTCCTCCTCCTCCTCCTCCTCCTCCTCCTCCTCCTCCTCCCCCTCCTCCTACTCCCCCGTAGCCCTTTTTGGGCTCCAAGGGTCTGCTCCTTCACTTGCCGACCCCTCTCGAGGTGCCTGGCGGCCAGGCACCCGCGGGCGGGGCAGCGGCCGCGCCCCCCCCCCCCCCCTGGACTCGGCGGCCGCTCCTCCTCGGCGCCCTTGCTCCCCTCCTCCCACTCCTCCTCGCCTCCTCCTCCTCCTCCTCCTCCTCCTCCTCCTCCTCCTCCCTCCTCCTCCTCCTCCTCCTCCTCCTCCTCCTCCTCCTCCCCTCCTCCCCTCCTCCTCCTCCTCCTCCTCCTCCTCCTCCTCCTCCCTCCCTCCTCCTCCTCCCCTCCCTCCTCCTCCTCCCTCCTCCCTCCTCCTTCTCCTCCTCCTCCTCCTCCTCTTCCGTAGCCATTTTGGCTCAAGCCATTTTGGCTCAAGTAAAACATCTCTCGAGGTGGCGCAGGGCCGTGCCAGCTCGAGGTCACAGACGCCTGCCCAGGCAGACCTCAGAGCCTTTCCGAGGCTCACACCTCACACCACTGCATTCTCGCGACAGTACTGCATTTTGCCTCGATGCTGTTCCTTTTGCTGCTCAGTGCAGCTGCTCCGCTGCGATGGCTTCTGATGAACAGATGATGTGCCCAGCGCAATCGGCCGAGGAAGCTGGTACCTCTCCGAAGCGTGTGCGTACTGGCGAGGCTGACTGGCTGCGCGAGATGCTGGGCGACATCCGCTCGAACATGGCCACAAAGGACGACGTCACAGAGGTGAAGAGAACCATTCATGAGCACGAGGTCAAGCTGGACGGTTTGACTGCGCGAATGAAGGCGCCCGGGGACAGATCCAATATCAGCATGGAGGCAGCACAATCAGCTGCCAGCGCCGTCATGACTGAAGCTGTCGACAGTCAGCTGAAGGACATGAAGGCACACAACCTCAAGATGCAGGCCGAGCTTGCTGCTCTGACTTCGCGTACGCCATCGACCAGGTCGAATGCATCGGCTGCATCACAAGAGCCCGAGAAGGAGAGAGATAACCACAAGGTCTGGATCGCAGGCTTCCCGAGGCCGCTGCTAGCCAAGGTCATGAATGCCCATGCGACCCAGCTCATCCACCAGCACGTCCCCAACGGCATCTCAGCGCTGCCCAAGGCCCACAACTTCCAGACGGCCTACAGCATCATCTTCGACTCGAACGAGGCGGCCAAGGACTTCCTGATGCGCGCTCGGACCTTGGGAGTGAAGTGGCTCGACTCCCGCACCAACGCTGACTGCGACTTGAAGATCCGCGTGGACGCACCGCCTGCCATCCGCAAAGTCAACCGCATCCTCGGCGTTCTCTGGTCCAAGGTTGTGGAGACAGCCAAGGCCAACAACAAGTGGAGTCCTACATTCACGCTAGGCTCGCAGGGATTTCGTGGCACGCTGTGGCTGATCGCGAACGATGACACGGAGAACCTCTTCCAGGTGAACGGCGTAGAGTCGATGCAGTTGGACGTCATTCCCAACGTCGTGGCGCTGAAGAAGCTTGGCTTCGCCGATGCCACCATCAACAGCACGGTCGATAGCATCCTGATATAGGAGACCGCTCTGCCAAGCCAGCTGCTCATGAAGACCAACTTGCATGACATGCCCCTGGGGATCCTCGCCTCTCCTGTGGATGGTGATATGACTGGTTTGGGTGTCCCGATCTGCGTGGGCGCTTGCGGAGTGCATGACGCACCTGAGCAAGCGGCAGACAGCGACGACCAGCAGCACGCCACACCACCGCCTACGAAGAGAATTCGGTCTTCATGCAGATTAGCGACTTCAGCGAGAAGAGCAAGAGCCTCTTCCTCGTCGTCCCGCGCGTCTGGGTCTCCCAGTCCTGGTGGGTCGTCTGCACGTTCGGCACCTTCGGCAAGTTCAACGTCCTCAGCCTCCAGCTCTTCTTCGTCGTCTACGGTTGACTGGCCTGCGTTGCCGATGCGATGCAGCCCTTTCTTGCCGTGCAAGCGTTTTTTCAGTTGTGTCTTGGAATGCTCGTTCGCTCTTCGGCGCACTGCGCGCCCCGCAGCACACCCACCGCGCAAAGATCAGGCAGCTTATCAATCTGATTCAGAATCATGATGTTGTATGTGTTCAAGAGGCCCGCGGGACGTACGAGTGTTTCCGTGCTCTGGAGCGTGAGGTATATCAGCTCTCTGGCTTCTCGACCTTTCTCTGCAATTCTCACTCTGGTGGTAGTCTTATTTATGTTCATCCTCGGGTACGCAGCACGTTTACACATGCGCAACATCGTGTCATAGCACAAGGGCGGGCGTATACACACAGTTGCTCTTCATAATGACCAGCATGCTCTCCAGATAGTCAATGTGCATAGTGATCCTGGTCTCCGTGTGCGAGAGCGCAAGCGTCAGCTGGTGCAGATTCGTGATGCCCTTCGGCCTCGAGCGCAGTGCTCTGTCTTTCTTTGTGGCGACTTTAACTATCCTGTGCAGGGCGAGGGCAGCTGCCAAGTGTCGGGGAGGCTCGTTCACCCCACCCACAGCCTCGCCAGGCTTTTTGATCGGCTCTTTGCGCACATGGTCGAGGTTGAACAGCCGCAGTTCACGCATCGTGTCGAAGGGTATGTCGAGAGACGCAAAGCGGTCCTCTCGCTCGGGCGCCTCGACAGAAACTACACGTCGATCCCTGCTAGCCTGATCCTGGACCCAACCCCGAGCTCGGGAACGATCGGCTGTGCAGCAGATCTCGCCACGCTCTCTGATCACGTGCCTGTATTCCTGGCCCCGGCGCCCCCCAGCCTCAGCGGGACCTCGAAAGTGCAGCCCTGGGTCTCCAAGCACAAACTGTTCCCCGAGGTGTTCAAGGAGGTTTTGCAAGGAGGAGGCGATCTTGATGATGATCCAATTCAGCGGGTGGAGGAGGTACGCAACGCAATACAGGTAGCAGCTAAACAATTACTAGCCAAGCTTGAGCAGAAGGGCGCCAGCTCGTTGCCTGAGTACATCTCCTGGTCTCTAGCTGCTATGCGAGCCGGGAGATCCAAGGCCACGGGTGTGCTGCGCAGAGCTGTGAAGGCCTACCCGATGCTCCAGCGGTTTTTCAATGTCGAGCTCTGCGTCTACACGAATCTTGTGGGCTTCCACGCGTTTCTAGCGAACCTTAAGCGCCAGCAGATCGACGATCAGATAGAAGAAATTCAGAATGACATGAACATCCCCTCGGCCCAAAAGAAATCCACTATGAATAAGCTTTACTCTTACAGATCGGCGTGGAAGGGACGCGGCGCCCAGATCTCGTTGCAAGCTATAGCCGACCCGCTCGGGGCCCCCATCTTCGACCCAGTTGCGGGCGCTCGTGAGCTCGCTCAGCATTGGGGAGCTGTGCACTCTGCCGTTGCCGTTCAGCCTGCTGCGCTTAACGATTTGCTCGTGCACGTGCAGAGAGTTCCTCGGGTAGTAATCTGGAGGTTGGAGGAGGCGGAGTTTTTGGACATGATGAAGAGACCGCGTGACAGCGCCCCGGGGCCGGATGGGACACCTTACTCAGGGTGGTGTCGTGCGGGGGTGGACGGAGGACGGGCCTTATACAATCTGTGCGAGCACATCCTTGATGTTGGCGAGTGCCACCCCGAGTTTAATTACGGCCACAACATCTTCCTGGCCAAAGGCGATGATGAACACGATACTTCGCTCTGTATGCGCGCGCCTTCGGTTACGAGGCCGCTGACTATGTCGCGCACCTCGAAGAAGCTTGTCTCGCTTGCCCTGAACAGGCCGCTGGCTGCCATCTGCAGATGCTCGTGCATTAAGGAACAGAGAGGCTTCGTGGGAGGAA